TCTCTTTAATAAATTGTTTTGTAGAGCACTATACTGGATAATAGAATGTTAATGATATAAAAATGGCAACAACTTTGAATAAAAATTATAAAAGCAGATTCATAAATTAAATTGAAAGATTTATAATTTTAACTTAAGAGTTATTCAATTAATAAAATTTTATTTAATAAAAACCTAAATTATGTTATAATTTCGACAGGCGAAAATAAAATATTAAAGATTGTGATAAACTTAATGAAATTTATAATGACTTTATTTGATTAGCTTTTATTATATAATGTTTTAAAAACAAACTGTTAACTTTACAATTTTATTTTTATTCTATAAAGCATACTTATGATACGAAAATATTAAAAAAAATAATAACAATACAATTTAACTCAATACTTCTAAATTGGTTTAACTAACTCTATATTTTAACAATACATTTGAAACTATTAAAAAGCATTTTTAAAAAGTAAATATGAATAAAATGATTTTGAATAATTTCATTTTGATTGAAGAATCTGATATTTTTCAAAATATTAAACATATAAATGGAATATCAGTTTTTATCTCACAAGGTTACTCACCAATTCTTATAAGTGAAGATGCTACAAAAAAATTGAAAACAATCAAAGAATTGCTTGAACTAAATATACGTGTTCTAGCCTTGATCTTTAATTCTGTAAAATGTCCATTAAATGCCTTTATATTATATCAAAAAGAAAAAATTAAAGATAATCCAAATATGAATACTCGTCAAATTTCAAAAATTGCTAGAAACAAATGGAATAAACTGCCAGAGTCTAAAAAGGCACGTTATAAGTTACAATCTGAAAGGTTAAGAATGCAATACAAATCAAAAAATTTGAAATGCAAATATAAAACAAGAAAACAACATTTACTTAAAAGCCTTTCAATACTCTTTCAATCAATTATCTAGAGCATTGTACAGTATAAATAGTATAATAATATATTATAATAATATATTATAATAATATATTATAATAATATATTCATAAACTGGTAAATGAACCTTATTTATTTGTAAAGCATCTAAATGTATCTTTTTTTACTGGATCTGATCCCTTACTTGAATAATAAAATCATACTTTTATTATTGATTTTCTTTAAATATTCAATATGCTTATGAACTGTCAACTTCTGTGCGATCATAATGATTAAAAATGAGTTAGCATTCAGCGAAGTGCAATCATATCATATATGTAATAAATTCATATCAATATCACGTTTTCAATTCAAAATCATATTACATAATGAATTTAATAAAGTTAGTAAATTTATCTTAAATGCTATTTTCTATGTTAACATATTAGTCGAACTCTTAAGTATTGGATAACCAATATTCTTTTTTATACTATCATTGTTATTGTAAAATCTGATGCTACTATAGTAGAGATGCGAACTGTGAATTACAATACATATAAATAAACTATAGTTTATTTTAAAACTATAGTTAAGTACAGTTTTACAATAAACTATCTAAACTACAGTTTATTTATATTAACTACTAGTTTACGGATCGCGCCTCTAATGTATAGTGCCAATTGTATATACGACTTTCTCAAATTAAATTGAAAATTAGTTTCGTCAATAAGATCGCAATTTACTTTACATAAGAACTCACCTGGTAGCCTGGTAGTAGAGGTGCGATCCGTAAACTAGTAGTTAATATAAATAAACTGTAGTTTATTGTAAAACTGTAGTTAACTGTAGTTTTAAAATAAACTACAGTTTATTTATACGTATTGTAATTCACAGTTCGCATCTCTACATGGTAGAATAAACCATTCGATTTAAATTAGAGGCACGATCCGTAAACTAGTAGTTAATATAAATAAACTCTACTGATAACTATTCGATTTACATCATTCATTACATTATATTAGTCAGTAAGCAATATAAAATATTTTAAATTACATATCTCGTTAATTCAAAAAACAAATAACTGATAACTATTCAATTTACATTATTTATTACATTATATTAGTTAGTAAGTAATCACTTGCCTCATCGTTATTTTATAGCTATGGAACGTTCGAGGTCTAATAGAGAGGAATGGTTTGTACCTGTGGTTGAAGGTTGATATAGTTCTATAGAGGTTTAGGAATTGCTGTTTTTTGAGAAAATTCCTTAGAATTTAGTTTTCATCAGATAGTTAATAGCAATTTATACTTTTGTTTATTTTCCAATAAATTTGGTTCGCTTATTCCTTTATAGTAAAAATTAACTTCTCTAAATTCTTAAGAGTGTATAAGTAGATTACACTATCATTTACTTGTTTATAAAATACAATGTGTAAAGAGAGTAAACAATATATAGTTATGGTTGCTACGTGCTTAATAACTATATATTATTTTTGCTTTCCATAATTAAATTAATTTAATACAACAAAACTATTAGTAAGTTTATATATAACAAATTTTTACAAATTTGATATAATAGTCTAATATCTTTAGAGAACTGATATTTCCACACCCCTTTTTTGATATTGCCATACCTATGTAAAACTTTTTTTTAACTTTAATCCAAGGTATATTGGTAATATTGATAACCACCTAACCAAATTCAATGACTTCAAATAAAAAAATTTTTATTAAATTTGCATTAGATGGTTATCGGGTACCTTCGATCAAAGATTTGAAAATTTTTGTCTTAGCTTCTATTTTAATAAATGGTTTAAATTTTTTTAAAACTTTAATCGAATGTATCTCAACAACCACTCATCAACCACCTAACCAAATTTAATGAATTGTTTTATTTGAATTCTCATATAGGCTAATTTCGGTATGCAGCTAGTACTCTAAAAAATTTCTGATGGTAGGTCAGGTCGTCTGATACCAAATTGTTTATTGTGGCGCTAGGTAGTATTTGGTTAGATGATTTTGATACAATGATAAATAAAAGACATTAGGTATTAATATAACAGTCTCCGGTTAATTTTCTTCAGAAAAAAAAAATTTATAATTATGAGTTTACAATCCACTTTCAAAATATAGTATCTACTTCAATCCATTCTGTTTTTTGCCCTGTTTGTCTTCGGAATTTCAAGTCTGAAAGGGCATTATAACACAATTAAAAAGTACAACACACCATATAGTGATCTTGATACAATTCCAGCCAGTTCATTGCAAGAATTTAAAGATATTTTAATTCAACAAATACATCATCATTTACCATTAAGCTTTACCAGAATGGGACGAAAAGTTTTATCAATTCCATGCACTGAAAGTCTATTTGTTGGTATTTTTGCTGGACATATTTATCAGTTTTCTAGTAGTCCACGAACATATAAATGTAGATTTCATGGAGAATCAGCCTATTCAACTTTAACAAAAATTTTAGAAAATTCTAAATGGGGTCAAAAATATTATAATCAGAATCAGCAAACATATATTGTTTTTGAACAGCTATCGAAACAAACATCTTCTAATACCAATATTACCGAAAATCAAGATGATATCAATCTTCTAGAACATTTAATATTAGTAAACCAGTATAAGTCAAATAGTCAAAAAAAAAAAAAAGCCAAAAATTTCTCGTGGTGAACTTCTGGTAGAATGGAAAAAAAAATCAATCAAGAAATAGATGGACACGTCTGTATGGCAGGATTTATAACTAATATTTTTATATATCGCAAAGACGTATATAACTTATAAAAAAAAAAAAGTATGCGGTATTCTTGGTTAGGGGCATAGATCTGGAGCCCTAAAAGTGGTAGGAAGAATATGATAGTAAAAAAAAAATTAATACTTAGCTGGGAAGAGACAGAGAAATAAACATATAGTTTACATGTGATCTTTAGGATCGAAATCCTGATCGCAGGTTCAAATGTAATAAATTATGCAATAATTGGTGGTATATGTCATAAATTTGAGTCAAAAATGGAGTAAAATTTGCATATAAACGAAAAGCGAAAACAATAATTGCTCTTTTTCTTAATAAATTGATAAATATTTACTTCTGTTTATAAGTTGGATTCGAATTTGAAAAATTCTCTATTTAATATATAAATTCGAATTCAAAATTCGAATTTATATATTAAATAGAGATTTTTTTAAATTAGAATCCAACCTCTACACCTGTTTGAGTTATCGATTATATATAAAACGATATTTGGTTTAATGATTACTGACGTTTATCAATCAACCAGAAAACCGATGAAGTTACCGAATGGGCAGAGTTACCAGAAAATTTAAATGAAACTGATGAGAATGTGCCAGCATTTGCTCAAGGTCTTGATGATATAATTATAGTCAAGGTTGCTTGTGGTTCAATATAACATTGGCTTTATCCGATAAAGGCTAATTATATGCTACCGGAACATTTAGAGTATTACAGGTTTTGCACACCAAGTTCGTACAAATTGATAGTCAAATTTGCACATAACACTTTTCATTAAGTTGTAATATCTTGTAATCTAATGATCTAAATTATATAATTTGGAACCATTTGATTCAACTTATTTCGATAAATCATATGGTATTGACTGTTTGTATGAATTTGACTACGAACTTGGCATGCAAAACCTGTAATATTTTCATTATAATAATTTACATTTTAATTTTAAGGATAATAGTGTAAATTTTATTTATTAAAAAAATTACATTTTGCCTGCGTGAAGGAAATTTTCACAAAATATTGTATTTTTTATATAGATATTGATATTTTTAATTAAAAATATTTAAATTCTTCGTGTAAAGTGTTGGATAAATATTCTCGTATTCCAGCGTTATATATAATGTTAAGGCCGCTTGAAGTTGAATTTTCGGTTAACAGAACTCTTGAGAGGAGGGGGAATAAACATATGAAATGAAAAAATATGAGACATTTGATTGGTCCATGTAAGTTAGCTTGAAGTTGAATTTCCGGTTAAATTGACTCCTACGGCCATGGAAGCCGTAGGAGTTTAAAAAATTAAAGATGATTCTTGGCTATTGTTAATCTTACTTAAAGTAATATGTTTACCACGAGTTGCGGTTAAGTGTAGTTTGAATTTCATATTCTTCTTTTCCGTTAAAAATGTTTTTTATAATACTGTTCCAATTATTATTCCTCCCTGTATTTCGTATTAAATTCGTTCATTCGCTTTTTCTCGTCGTTTGATTTGACTATTTTTTCTTGTTGCAAAATTTTTTTCAGTTTTTTAACACTCAAATTTATAATTAAATAAAATAAATTGAAAAAAGGTTTTCTTTTGGTGACACTTATTAATCATTTTGTTTGTGATTTTTCTGTTTTTGATCACTCATAACATTTCCATTTTATATTCCATTGGATTTAGGATTAATTTGTAATAACGAAAATTTATTAATACTGATAAATTACAGTACTGAGTAATAGATCATTTATCTAATGTCTAAATTAGAAATAGCTATTATTAGAAAGTTAGGATTAGAATATATGTTAGAAAGTTAGATACTTCAAAAGGGGAAATTTGCCAATTAGATATAGTTAAAAAATCTTTTGTTTCGAAACCATATTTTTATGGTTTCCCCGGCTAGCTTGGTATAGCCCTCTGGTGCAAGCAATTGTCTTAACCGGTGTGGCAGACTGCACTTGGGCACCCCTAGGGGTAGCCGAGTGATGTCGGATCTACAGTTTAAATAGTTTAAATATATGTAAATATATGCTTTGATCTAATAAAAGATACCGACGAGGCTGCCAATATTTCAAAAAAAAAAAAAAAAAAACAATAGCTATTCTTCAGGAGTAATTAAAGAATTAGAAGAATATGGATTTAAAGTGCTGACTAATCAACCATTATCCGAAGAATACAATATCGTTAAAATCTCTTTCGGAGAAAAAGATTCTCTACAAAAACATTTTCATCTCATCTTCTGGAATTACTTGTGATGATCTTTTTGATCTAGAAAATCATAGATACGAAGATCTGACTATTCTCGTTCATAATAACAAGTTAAACAAAACAATTTAGCAAAAAATCAATATTATCGATGATAATTAAAAATATAAAAAAAAACTTAAATTATGGATTCAAAACGAAAATGACATTATTGATTTTATAAAATTTAATTTTTTTGATAATTTTTCGATTTATGCTGAAATTCTATCAGAAAATCGAAAAATTTTTACTAAATTCATGATAAAAAATGTAAAAAATGCAAACGAAATTAAAGAACTTCATAATATGTGGCCAAACAAATCAGATAAACCCTATTATTAAATTGATGAATTATTTTTTGGAATAGTGTACAGTATATAGTAAAAA